AAACCAAGAAACCAATGTGGAGATCCCGGGCCGTGCAGCTGGAATGCCTGGTTCGGAAGGCTCCTTGGGTTTTCTGACATGTGTGGGGTCTGTTGGCATGTCTCACTCTCCTTGCCCCATTCCAGATCTGGGCTCAACCTTGGCAGCATATCACCTCTAGGTTCTTCTGCCAACCATGGAGCATGACCCATGGTGCCTGTCTCCAGCCCTTCAAAGCAAAAAGACGTATCAGCCTTAGAGGTTGCAGCTGAACATACAGGTGGTGTCTGTAGACACTGGTGCATTTTATCAGCTGTCTCGGGTCACAACTCCAGCAGAAAAAAAATGTAATGCAATATAAAGCCAATATTACAAAAGCATTACAGCACTGAAAATAGTTCATACAGTAATAAATAGTTAGAAGCATTAGAAAAAAAATCAGTGGTGGTGGTGGTGGTGAGGATGATGCTTTTGATCATAAGCTTTTGGAGGCAATGAGCTGTCTTTGCTTACCTTGTGCTGAAAAGTGGCATGCAGCTTGTCACCCTTTTTGCTGTCTAATCTAGAAGGATAGAGAGCTGGGTAGGTACCTGCAACTCTCCAGGTATTTTGGCCTACGGTTCCCCACAGTCCTCGTATTTGGCTAATTTGTTGATAGATCAGTCAGACACATTTGAGAAATCTGTCTTTGAACAGGTGAGGGAATCGAGGGATTGTCAAGCGTGCTCCTTGTACCGAGTGGATCACGCTGATTTTTCTGGCCGTGCACCAAGATCACTTACCACCTCTTGGTCTTTGGATTCTTCTTTTCCAAGGTTCTTTCTGCTGCTCCCTTGGAAGTCTTGCCTGCCATTAGAAGTTCTGCCTGGCTTGTTCTTTTTGGGTATTAATCAGTTCTTATAAAGTATCCTAATTTATCATACCTGTAGAGTATATTTTTTCCTGATGACCAAACAGCAAGGGTCAGTTACTAAGTATTGTATACAAGAAACATAAGAGGGTCAAAAATGTAAAAAAAAAACTTCTGCCAAGGTCAGAATGTGTAAAAATAAGCCTGGGAGCAGATGTTCTATTGTTATTGTTGTGTTGTTTTATTTATCAGATTTGTTTGAGAACCACCTATTATCATCACACTCTCTGGGTGGCCATTGAAATAAAATTGCCAATAAAAAACATTAGGTAAAATAATACAGTTAAAATATCATAGTAAAATAAAATAAGATAAAATCACAGTGTACATAATTAAGTAAAAATAAAAATACAAATTAATATATTTAAACCAGTGCAACTGGTCTAAAAAGTCTTAAGTAGTCCCATAGGTGAGCCGAAAAGGGAAGGTCTTTGTTAGGCACTTAAAACTCAACAAACTAGGCGCCTGGCAAATCTCAGAAGGTAGAGCATTGCATAATTGTGTTGCCACTACAGAAAAGGCTGTCCTCCTTGCAGCCTTCCCCACCACCCCATCTTCCCCATCACAGGGGGAGGGATGCATAGGAGGGCCTCTGTTGATGCTCTTAAGCAATGGGCAGGAATATACGGAATAAGGCACTCCTTGACATCAGATGGCCTACGAGGTGATGTGGGTCAAGCTAAGCATGTACAAAATGTAACTGACCATTCCCTGCTGATGATGTTTCCCCATTTATGTATACATTGATTTATTGCATTTGTATAGCCAGAAGACTCTCTTGGCAGCTCACAGTGCAATCCTAACAATAATACAGGTAAAAATAGATGACAATAACAGTGAAAAACCATAAAACAGAGTACAATAAAATGCTATATAAATACTTACAACAGGAGGATAAACACAGAATAATCAATAAGACAAAAAACCCCCCAATAAACCAGCAGCAAGACCAATAGACCAATAACAACAGATACTAAATTAAAAAGTCTTACATTGGCACCAAACTTAAGGTAAAGTGGGAGTTCCAGAGGTGAGGTGTGACAACAGAGGGGACCCTTGTCCTTGCCAATTCAACCTCACTTCATTGGGGTGGGGTCACAAAGGAGGGCTTCCATTGATGAGCTGAGTGGTCTGGTGGGGATATACGGAAACAGGTGTTCCTTCAGATATCCCGGCCCCAAGCTGTTTAGGGCTTTATATGTTAGTGTGAGCACTTTGAATTGGCCCAGGTAACAACACAGCCAATGCAATTGGTGAAGAACCAGCGTAATACATCCTCTAAGGCTGGTCCTTTTTAGTAATCACGCTCCTCTGCTTTGGATTAATTAAAGTTCCTGTACCATCTTCAAAGGCAGCCCCACATAGGGCACATTAATCTAGGCAAGAGGTAACCAGCCCTTTTTGAACCAGAGAGGTGCTCTTCCTTTTTGATAGGTGTGCCCTGCTTTTCTTGGATATTTCCTACTAAGATGTTTTCTGCTCCTAATCATTACAAAAAGCTAAGCATATAAATTGGTTGTGCATGTTGACTGTGGCAGCTGGTCCCGACTGGAGGTGGGCTTCTCTGTATTGTTAGTGAGTAACTACAATAAGGGGGGGTTTTAATATAAAACGGGCAAACTTGCTGGTGTTGCCCATCTCTGTCATGATCAGACGATGAACAAGGGGGACCTTTTGGTCATAGAATCATAGAACATGATTAGGTTTCACCTGCAGTACTATGTCCAGTTTTGGGCACCATAGTTTAAGAAAGAGGCAGAGAAGCTGGGAAGGGTTCAGAAGAGGGCAATGAGGATGATCCAGGCACTGGAAACAAAGCCCCTTGAGGAGAGATTGAGACAACACGGTATGCTCAGCCTTTAGAAGAGATGACTGAAGGGAGACTCTTCAGACTATCCAAGATGCAACTGGACAGCCATCTAAGATGAATGGGCAGGGGACTGGACCTTTTGTCTGCTGGTCCCTTCCAACTCCGCTATTCTATTAGTTTATGACTTAAGTCATGTGAAGTCTTTTAAAAAGTGATGCATCAAAAATACGAGAATGGAGTCACACATTTATTTCTCCCAGCCCTTCACAAATGTGCAGACCCACCTGCTCTGCATAGTCTGGAGAAGAATTACAGTTATCTTACAATTTTCCTTGTAAGTTCCTTACTCACTTCAGTACCTCCCTTGGTAGTGAACACAAAAGCAATCAGGAAAAGCACTGAAGTGGAGCAGGAAATGTAGCACAATTTCGTGTTTTGTTTTGTTCTGTTTGTTCTGTGGGCACTTGTGAAGGACAAGGAAAAGACGGTGAATACACAATATTCTTGCTGTAAGTACACCTATACTTGTACAGTAATTATAGATGCACACCCCAAAAGCTCCACCTTATTTAGAGTCACATTTAGACTCACACATTTAGGCCATATTTAGAGTCTAGGATCCAGGGAAGCACCAAAGTGAGGCAGGAAACTGACAAGGACGTTTGACAGTTCAAGATGCAAAACAGTGATGAAGTTCACTCAGGGTTTCAACATGTGCAGAGGAGGTTTTGATCTGTATTGTTGACAAAAATAAATAGGAGATAGGCAAATTTGCACAGTTTGGATGTGAGAGGCTGCACCACCACAATAATCCATTTGATACCTGCTAGAGAGGGTTGGAGAACTAAGGGAGAAGCAAGCCATGGCAAACCATAGAGTGCCAAATTCTGTCAGGAGTAACATGGGTCAGAGAATGAACCACCAACAGCTTATTTTCATTGTGCCTTGTTTTGTGCTCCTGATACAGAGATGTGATCGAGAATGGACACTGTTGTGTGATAGCATGCACGTGTGTTTACATGCATATATGAGTTGTATACTATAATACAGAGGGCCATTACGAAAATGATTTATTTATTGCATAATCTATACTGCCCAATAGCCAAAGCTGTTGCTCTTCTTTTCTGTCATAATTCTCAAGATGGCATGCATTAGCTTCCCAGGCAGTCTCCCATCCAGGGATGGACCAAGCTCAGCTCTGTTAGCTTTAACAACATAACTGCATCATGCCCTTTCTAGCTATACTGTAAATACCTCTGTCAAGGTTTTGTAATCTCATAGCCCATAGAAACAACAGTGCTATTCTACTCTGAGCTGTCTCTCATTCTGGGACAGCTTGGTAAGCTCTATCATCTTTCCAAGTGGTAATGAGGATGTTGCCATTTTGTTACAAATATATAGAAAATATGTGACAAAATAGTAATCTGTGTCCATGCATACTCAAAAAAGTTGATTTTTAAAAAAACTTTGAAAGTTTTCCTTTCTTTTCTTAGTGGTTCTAATTAGCTAGTGGAGGATGTACATAGATTATAAACTGATTGTGTAATTGTGAGAAATCAATTTGTTAATAGTGAATAAGCAGGGCTATTAAAATTGTAGATGGTCAAATTCAAAGCAAAATTTCAAATGTCAAATTACAACACTTGTTTCAGGGAAATAAGTAGGATAGGAGTGCTTAAAATAAAAATAAAAATCAGAAAGCACTGGTAGTATGATCATGCCCATCTCAGTGGAAGAGTTAAGAGCATAAGTATCTCCTAGAGAAAACAGTGTAGCTTAGCAGCTGTTGGCTTTGGCTGGACTGTGCCCTTTATCATGTGAAACTCTCTCGATGCCAGGGGTATTCGGAAGCTATGAAATATGCCTACGCCGTTATTTATTTATTTAGGAGACTTCTATGCCGCCCCATTCGCCGAAGCCTCGGGGTGGCTCACAACCATAAATAAACTTCAAAATAGAATAATATAAATTAACAATATAAATTAAGTCACCCTGGCCAAAGAATAAAATGAATAAATAATATTAACAATTAAAATAACATTTGAATAAAAAGGTCTTCACCTGGCACTGAAAAACAAATAACAATGGCGCCAGGCGGACCTCTCTGGGGAGAGTATTCCATAGATGGGGCTCCACCACAGAGAAAGCCCTCCTCCTTATGTATGAGGACAATCACTGTCACTGTGCCCATATCGTCATCAAGGAAAACCATTTTGTACTGCGAACTAAGCTTTGTAGTAAAACTTCTTCTAGTCTATCAACTTCACCTGGACTTACCATGTTGCTTTTCTCCTCCTACAGAAAGTGAGTGAGAAGGTTGGTGGAGCAGAAGGAACCAAGCTAGATGATGACTTCAAAGAAATGGAAAGAGTAAGTTTGACCATAATTGCTATTCTACTCTTTTCTTATGATAGCATTACTTAATTACCTAGTTTGTTTTTGACCAAGAAGAACAAGTGGCCAAATCCCAATTCAATCAAGGTAGGCCGGGCACCGAGACCTATACTTGGTGATACTTACATTTTGGGGCATTGCCCAGCAAACATTACCATGTCATTGAAAAATCTTGCTAGAAGCTGCATTTAGAAGTGCTTACTGGCAGTGCTACTGGCAACAGTTCCACTTCACTGAGTGGCTGTGAGCAAAAGTTCTTCTATGGAATGAATTGCCACCCACATGCCTCTGCGTCGCATGAGCTCGAGCCTATTCAAAGAGAAGCTTGAATCACCTGGATGGATACAAATGTCCATTTTTGCTTCAATGTAAAATGGTTCTAAATAATTCCCTTGCCACTAGAAACAGAAGAGCAAGCCGGTACGGTGATGCTGCCATTAAAATCTTCTGGTACATACTTTTTACGGTTGCTGCAGAACACATGCAGGTGAGAGCATCTGAAGGGCCACGGCTTCTAGCATTCCTCACCTTTGGCTACACTGGATGGTACTGATGGAGTTCTATTGCAAAACATGTGGTGGGGAGGCAGAGGTTGCCCACTGCTGCAAAAGCAAGTGAGGTTTGGTAAGGTTTCTTTATCAACATGTTTTGCGCTGAAGATCTCAGGAAGCGGAAACTACCCACAGTGACAATGACCTATCTAGCTTCAATTAGATCAGTAACCTGAAAACCCTTTGATCGATTTTTGGACCACGCTCCTGAGTGGGAAGCAGAGTTTTTTCCACAAATGATTTACTTTCAAGGACTTCCAAAAGACATCTTTCAGGACAGGGAATGCTTTTTGTAAACAGGGCCTATTGGGTTATAGGTGTGCGTCATCTGAAAACAGAGCCTCCTTTTCACATGCAAATGCATGCAGATTGATTCAGTTAAGGTTGCAACTTAATTGCATCCTGGAAATAAACCCCAAAGAATACAGTGAGACTTACTTCTAACTAGACATCGTGGGATTGCACAGCTTGTCAGTAAGAATGCAGTTCCATTGCCCTTGTATCTATGAATAAATAATATGCAGATGACACGAAATTGGGTGGAATAGCTAATACCCTGGGTAATAGAAACAGAATTCAAAGCGATCGTGATTGTCTGGCACACTGGGCTGAAAGCAACAGGAAGAAATTCAACAGGGACAAATGCCATTTTCTGCACCTGAGAACAGGAAAGCAAATACACAGTTATAATATGGGGGATAATTGGCTCAATAATGCTACAAGTGAAAAGGTTCTTTGAATTGTGGATCACAAGCTGCATATGTGCCAACAATGCGATGTGGCTGCTAAAAAAGCGAATGTTCTTTTGGGTTGCATTAACAGAAGTCTAGTTCCAAATCATGTGAGGAACTGGTTCCTGCCATTCGGCCCCAGTTAGGCCTCATCTGGTGCATTGTAGCCAGTTCTGGGCACCCCACTTCAAGAAGGATGTAGACAAGCTGGAGACAGTTCATAGAAGAATGACAAGGATGACCAGGGATGGAGACCTAAGTCCTAAGGGGAGAGATTGAAAGAACTGGGCATGTTTAGCTTGGAGAAGAAAAGACTGAGGGGAGATAAGATAGCTTTTCAAATACGTGAATGGCTTTCGCACAGAGCAAAGCCAGACTCTCTTCCTATTCGTGCCAGAGTTCAGAACATTGAATAATGAGCCCAAGTTACAGGAACCCAGATTCCAACTGGACACCAGGAGATCTTCCTGTTAGGGTTCACTCCCTAGAACCAAATACTCAGCAAGGTCATGAGCTTTCCCCACACTGGAGACCTTCAAGAGGTAGCTGGACATCCAGGGATGCTTTAACTTGGAGTCCTGCACTTGGTAGGAGGTTGGACACCATGGCCTGATAGGCCCCTTCCAAGTCTGCTATTCTATGAATTCACTGAGACTTGCTTGGCATAGGGTTGCCCTGCAAAACCCCCACTGTTAACTTACCTAGATGACTTTAATCGGGTGTCAGAACTAATTACAATAAAGTACTAAACATGCTTCAGGAAAAGACAGATATGTCAGTTATATCCTGTGTCTTATGACTGCCACATTGGAGAGGTGCTCTTGCTTCCACCTCCTCATCTGCTATTCAAAGGAATAAAGGGATCTAAAAAGTAAATGCTGATGTCCTGATCTGTATGAGAGGACCACACAGGTGTCCTTGCCAGCCTGAGGACGCCTCTTGATACGCATCTCAGTCACCACACTGATCTGGATGTTCTTTTGAAGAGATCGGGGCTGCCTGACTGTGTGCAAGAGGACCAGGTCTTACAAAAATGGTCTTCTGTGACTACGTCGGGACCCAAGCACAAATTTCCACAGTTCCAGCAACACAAACTGATCTATCAACTCCCATGAATATTTGCTAATCTCTTTGTGAGCTCTTTGAACCCACATGCATTGGAGGAATGGAGAGAATTGAATGATAACCAAAAAGCTGCAGCATGGGCATGAATGAGCTTGACCGTAGGTTCATTCTTCTGTCTTTTTTTTTGGAGTCTGTATATGCTGGTTTAAAAATCAGGGGGCTGTCAAGTATTCTCACAATGAAAGGAGATGATTATTAGGTGTCAACAGCTGTGCCACAAGTCTGAGGGGTGAGGACAAGGAAAGGTGAAGAAAAAGCTTCATGGCAATGTTCCAGAATGGCCAGGTGCCTTGCAGAGGTGACACAGAGGGCCTCCCACGGATCAAGGGGGAGGATACGAACTCTTCCTAAATACAGGCCTGCTTCTTTTTAGTGATCACCAGTGGTGGAATGGAGCGCCTCTACCTTGTGATGGAGAGCTTGGAGAGCTCCAGCACCCGGAATTTTTCCTTTCTAGACTTTCAAACTACATTCAGTTGAACACTACCTTTCTCCACATGGGGAAACAGGTGCGCCCAACTTTTTGGGCCAGGAGGCACATTTGGGCATCAAGGCCAAACGGGGCATGAAATGAAATGCGTTTGTGGTCAACGTGCACATTAAAACATTTTTTTTAAAAAAGCAACTATCAGAATAGCAGCAGGCAGGGAGAGACAATTGAGCGGATTTTCCTACCCTTCTGTGACCCTGATGAAAATCATTCATCTCGGCACCAGTTATTACCCCCCGCCCCCACCCCACAGCTGCTACCTGCATTTTTCCAAGCACAAACACTGAAGTTGCATCGAATGTCAGGTCCAGTTTGGCCCTCCATTCTACAGTCTTGTGTTTGGAAGTACCTTCAAAATGGTGCCTTGCCCTGCACAGGTGATAATCCATTGCACCTGGTGAGATTGTGGCATTTTACAGTTAGAGCCAGTTGATCCACTTTAAACAGAGAAGTAGCCTGGAAGAGAAGACTGCGTATTGGTTCTTCCTTGGTCTTTGCACAGCTGGGGTAGAACAGGGGTTAAGAGTGCAGAGCTGAGCTGGGTCTCAATTCAGCTGTGCATTCTCCTGGGTACCCTTGTCCCAGTCGCATTTATTTAGCTTAACCTACTTCACAGGACTGTTGTAAGAATAAAGGAGGGGGGGGGATATGCATCTAAGAAATAAATGAATGAATCCAATCCCGTTGTGTTTAAGAGAACATTGCCAGAATTTGACCAATGACTGATAGTTGAATTAAGGACCTCCAGTTCAGTGTTACTGGGACAGCTCTTTCTAGGTCTACCTCCACTGCTTTCATTGTTCTTGCCCTTCCATTTTATCTTGGTGCTTCGAGATCTCTTTTCGGCCAATGCTTCACTGTGCTAGGCATTTTAATGACACATAATAAGCTTTAATTACTCCTCATCCCCTCCCCCAAGAGCTTACTTTCCTCAGACAATGAAGCAGGTGGGTGAACAAATAGAAAGATGCCACCGAAAGGAGACTAATAACCCAAGTGGGTATCTGTGTAGACAGATCGATGCAGGTGTCATGAAAAGATCCAAACAGGGGTTTAGTTTATTAGGGGCAGGAGCCAAGCAAGTGTGTGAAGACTATTTGCTGGTTTCTGCCCAAGCTGTTAGCAATTCCACAGGTTCCATGCCAGAGGCTTGGAAGGATGGCAAGAGAGGGACTACAGCTGCCCACCAACCTACTGGTAGTGCATTTTTTAAAAATGGAGGGAAAGAGAAGTAGCAAATTGCTCCCTTGTCGTTCTCCTTTTTTTGTCCTATATGACAATGGCTGCTTTTCCCTACTCTTCCCCTTCCCACCTGCAGGCAGGAAATGCCACGCTAAGAGAGAACAAGGAAGGGAAACAGTCAGGAAGTGGCTTCCTTGATCTGCTCTGCAAGAAAAGGCAAGGCACTGCCAGAGGATGAGAGAGCAGCGGTGGCGGCAGTTCTCTCCTTCCCAGAAACGGGGCAAGGTGAGATCTGGAAGCAGGTCCACCATCACCGGTGGCTGTCAGGACTAGTGGCCGCTACGGCCGCTGGGAGGCTTCTTTTCCTAGGTGAGCTCCTTTCAGAGGTGACTGCAGGAAGCATTTTGCCCTGTAGACCTTCCAGTAGCCATGGGGCTCTGCCACATACCACGTAGGTTGTTAGGAGAGAACGGCAGTGGATTGGGCTGGCGAACCTTCAGTTGCTATGGATACAGCCATTGTTCTTTGGGTAAAAGACACACATTCAAAGAACTATGGAGAAATAAGCACAGGATGAAAACAAAGGACCGAGTGTTGTTTTTCCATCCTCATTCCATCTTCTCTTTTATCCTCCATTCTGTAATTGCAGAAAGTGGATGTCACCAGCAGGGCTGTGATGGAAATAATGACCAAGACAATAGAGTACCTTCAACCCAACCCAGGTAATGGGGCTTCTCTATGAATCAGAGTGCATTGAGATTCAGAGTGTGTGTATCTATTCCCAGAGGACTTTAACAACGAGTAAGAGATATTCTCTACTTCCACCCTGGTCCCTTACACATGTATCTGATATTGCTCCAACCTAAGCCCCATTCATTTCAATTGGTCTACTCTAAGCAAGAGTAGCATTGGATACCACTCATAGTGAAGGCTTCCACTGCATCCCTTTTCTTTCCAATTGTGCTGCCGCTGCTGCCTCACAGTAGAGCACTGAGTAGAGAAAGAGAATGGGAAGCTCCTTACGTCAAGCTAAACCACTGGGGAATGTTAACCAGGCAGCAAGCTTCCCCCACCTCTTCCCCCTCCGTATTCCTAAAGATCATGAAAGGCATCTTTCCCAGTCCAGCCTTGAGGCATCCAGGAGGTATCCCCGCCAAGGATTTCCAGGAATACCTTGGGGGAGGACTGCCCCTGATTGTCACTATTTATATTTTTAAAATGAAGTATGGCCTCCCCTTTGCACAAAGTCCACCTGTCGGAGTATGACCAGGAGGCCTCACTCTGCAGAAGAGCCAGGTTCCCGTTTGCCGTGCCAACGCCTCTTTGGAGAGGTCCGCTGGCCCAGGTGTTCCCCCCGATTGGCACTGACTCAGAGCAGCAGGGATGCTCTAACATTTTGGGAAGCCCCCCCATGAGGAGGCAGGCTTGCTTCTTTAAGTCATGGGACTCACCCCTGACCCGCCAAACTGGGCTTTCCCTCAGGTTCTGCCACTTTCCAAGGTGCTCTCCACTTGGGATGAATTGCAAAACCAAGGGGGCATTTGGGGCTTCCTAGAACCCCCCTCCAAAAAAACCTTTTATGATCCTGCTTGGAAAGGGGGGATAATTGAGAAGTGTCCTCCACAGCAGGACTCCTTACGGGATCTTGGGAGGGGGCGCAGTAGGGGAACCATTTGTGCCTCTGTGTTATCCACCTTTGGGAAAGTGAGAACAGCCTCCCAAACCCCCAAGGACCCCTCTGGAAAGTTAAAAAAAGCAGTGGGTTACCCAGTTGCAATTTGGCCTGTACACTGTGTTCGTACAGGCAAGTGTCCTCTCATTCTTGCACATCAATGGCTTTAAAAGCATCTCAATTACTTTGATCAAGGAGGAGACATGGCAAAGCTTGGCAGGAAAGCAAAAGTCACGTGATCCAGCTGATGAATTTTGTTAGCCTAGTTCTGAAATGATCTGCATTACAAGGCACAGCCTAAGGTATGTAGAACGCTGTGCTTCCCTCGGGTCCCCCACAGGACTTCGCTGCCTCGTCATTCTCAAAAGCACAACACTGAGGTTTCCTTTGTACTTTACTCAGTGAAAATCAGGTGAGCAGCACCTAAAAGCTGACATGGGGAGCCACCGAAGGAGCGGAAGACACAAAGGACGCACCCAGCTCCCCTTTGCCTATAGTATTTGCCCATCCTCCCTTCCCCGGCACTACATGCCATCCTGCTCTGACCCCAGGACAGGATTTTGGGGAACAGAGTGGGGCTGCAGAGGAGTGGTGGAGTTCCATGAGCAGAATGATGTCAGAAGCAAGCCACTGTCTGTGCTGCCTGGCAGGTCCTTCCTGGGATCGAGCATCTGACTTCCACCGCATGGAGGGACCTTCCGCAAAGGGAGGGCTCCCCTTACGGATCTCTTCTGCTCTGTTTTAGGGGGCCCCCCTCACCCCGCAGCTCACCCTATTTGTAGGCTTGCCTGGTGCAGCTAAAACTTGGCTCCAAGCCATCCTCAGGAAGCTGGGAATATAAAGAGGAGTCTGAACACATGCAGAGCATGTGCTTGACCACCGGGCTGCCCTGTTGCCACTTCATGCCACTTCTGTTTGTGTGTACCTGTACGTGTGTGCAATTCTGGCATGTGTCCTTCTTGGTGTGTGTAGTCTTTGTATTCATGATAAATGTGTTTTCATTACATGCATGTAAACTAAAAAGCTGAAATTCTCAGAGACGGAGAATTTCATTTATGATTTGTACTATTTCTGCACTGTTAAATATTAAGAGATGTTTCCATATCAATATTCAAGGCACATTTAAACTACCATTTAAAAACAATATTATGATGATACTACAAAGATGTACAGGAGCTGTGAAATGAAACAGCATCCTTAATTTAATTCTGAGCACCTAGAGGACAGGTGCATTTTCAGAAGGCGCTTTGTCCACGCCAATTTTCCTGCATCCCAGTCTGCATAAGGGAGTGCTTTCCATATGGTGGCTGTCCTGGGGACATCCCATCACTTTGGAAAGACCAGCAGGGGCTCCTCCAATGTTGCAAACAATCTGCTGAATACATCAAAGCAAAGCCTAGCATGCTGGCGTTAACTGTCAGAAGGCTTTGTATGTCAAAAACATAACCTTGAACGATGCTTGGCAGCCAAGAGGCAGCCGGTGCAAGACTTTTAACATGGGTGCTCGGGGAAGCACTCTGGCTTCTGCACCCTCTGCTAGTTGCTGCTTCCAGCCGAGCTGACCCAAGGGCAACTCCACGTCCCATCGTGTAGCCCAGTTGTGAGGGGTACCAGTGCATGGTTGACCATGGCTGGATTGGATTGATACCAACTGACAATAGGCACTCCAGGCCACCAAGGTCACCTGGGTCTCCAGTGCCAAAGGTGGATCCAGGAGCATCCCCAGACGATGTCCCTGCTCCTTCAGAGGGAAGCTACCCCTGCCAGACCTGGCAGACGGCCCGATTTCCAGACCTGGGAAGTGCCAGCCTGTGGAATCCCTGTCTGACGAGGGTTCAGCTTCAGTGTATTAGCCCTCACCTGAGCTGTCCCTGCATCAACAGGTGCACGGCCTCTCACAGAGAAGCAGAAATGGGGGTGATCAATGCGCTAGTGATCCCCTGTGCCACATCTCCCCAGTGACTGCTCCCAGTGGCTTTGTATAGAGAGCAAATAATGCTGGAGACAAGATGGTACCCCACAGCACCCCACAGAGTTCAGCTGCCCGAAGGCCAATGTGCAGTCACCCAGTGCTATTTTCTGGAACTGACCCCACAACTCTGGGTTGAAGCAGCATGAAGCAGTTCCTACAACTTCCAGCTCACAGGGTGGGTCCAAGAGGGTACCGTGGGCAATGGTATCAAAAGCCACGGAGAGATCCAGCCGAAGCGATAGGCCTGCCTTTCCCTTGTCCCTTCCCTGAGGATGGTCTTCCATAAGTACAGCGGTGATGTAGTACCCATGATTATTCTGTGTCAGATATGCCAGCAGAGCCTCATATTCCCAGAGTTAGGAATACAGCAAAATTTGCTCCAATCAGTGCCCTTGAAGTGTGCTGGCTGCTTAATGAGGCAAGGCGCTGTGACATCCTGCTGAAATAATATTAGATTCAAAGGCTCAGTTGGAGATTCTAAACAACTCAGTCCGCTCACATCCTAGCACTGAAAACTCTGCTGTGATTAGCGCTAGAACAGTGTTTGTTAAGTGCTGACTTCTGCAGAAGTCACTTCCCTCTTAGATAACGTAATAGATTTGAACGGGCAGAAATCGGACCTTGCAAATCTGAATGCATATGGAAGTGCTGTTGGCTCAGGGTTACATCCATGCATTTATTTCCGTAACAGCTGGTGTGGTGCAGAGGTGGGCTGGGGACCGGAGGATCCAGGCTCTGTTCTCCACTTGGCCATGGAGCTCACTGGGTGTCTTTGGGCCAGTCACTCCTTCCCAGCTCAAGCCACCTCAAAGGGCTGTGGTGGTGAGGAGCCACGAAAGCCATCTTGGGCTGCTCGCAGGAGGAGAAAAAGGCAGGATATAATTGCAAGAGGAGGAGCGGGCCACCACACACACTAGCACATGTTTGGTGGAAAGGCTGAGACAGCATGCCTGTGCCTCCACACTGGGGATGCAGAAGTGGCCTGGCTCTCTTGGGGTCTCCCTTGTTCCCCAACTGCAGATCTTTTGGTGATTTGCCAGCTTTTTAGTAGCTCTCTCTTACCTTCTCAGGGCTTGGGGTGTTTCTCCTAATGCATCATTATGGGCCATGAGTGTTCAACAGAAATAGGCTGCTGTTGTCCGTCCGCACCTTTGCCTTGTTCTCCACCCACCACTGGAATGTGGCCCAGAGTTTTTCGGAAAGCACTTCAGCCCTTGAGCTGAAAGAGCACAGGACACCTCAGCATCCTGTGGGTGCCTGGATTATGCACCCATTTGGAGATCCAGCAGGGGCAGTGGGACCAGCAACACACAGGGGGCTTTTTTCTCCACCAAGGAAATGACTAAAATGCCTCGCCATCCTCTTGGGATCAGCCGGAGTGGTAGACAGATTGCTCTCATGACCGTGGGCATTAGTTACAGTGTAGTCTATCGCTGAAGACAGCATTCCAGCTCTTGCTTGGAATGGCTGTTCCCTGGCTCAAGATTTCAAGAGTACCAGAAACAATGCAGTGGTTGGATTTTATGCCCCAAGAAGGATTTTCTTTGGCACAAACAGAATGCATGGTACCTGGGGAGTTACTGTAGCTCCTTGTATTATAGCTGTTATTCCCCATCCCGTATCCCGCTGATGTCCTGTACAAAGAATTCTTGTAAGCTTCCTTCTGCCTTAAGTGCTGGGTTAAGGTGCATCTCTTATGAATTACTCAGTGGTTTGTGCTGCAGAGGTAACCCAGCCAAACACAAATGAATCACAGTGATAATGTGATTTTTTGGTGAGATTTTTGTGAGATGTTTTGTACTCAGAGGTTGGTACATGGCAATCTTGCTGGCACGCCAACTGCAAATTATATGTGTCTTGCATCAGTAATAAATCACTCCAGCCTCCTTCAAAATAAATACAAATGAGGCTCTGCACCTTTTGTGGTTACAGTGTGCATCATCTGAAGGCAAAAAGAAGCAGTTCACATTTGCACGCCCTCTGCATAAATGAAGCGAGATGCGTGTTTCATGCATTCAAAATGTCTCTTAAACAGCAAATTCCTTTGGAACAAAGATTTGGAGAATCAAATTTGCTTTGGCCTTCTGTAATTCTGCTCAGTTCAGAGCCTGACAAGGAGGAAGAGGGCAGCTCCTTAGTTTGCTCTGATCTTGTCTGTAAAGGAAAGGGGAAGCAAATGACGCAGTTTTCTGTGCGCACCCCCAGAGAGACCCCAGGCTACGGGGTGGCATAAAAATACAACAAACAAACAAACACACCTCATTCCCAACAGAATCACTCCTACAGGAAGGGGGCTGTCTCTACAGCTTCATCCAATTTCACCAACTGGAAGAGGTGGAGGCAACAGCTACAACAGTGACGGGGAGCTCACCTGAAACACAGCAGAAGGTGCAAGACTGCTGACTGCATTAGGAGTTGCCTTAGGGTATCCAGGTGTCTTTCTTTACAGACAATGGGCCTCTATTTCAAGGGCTACCAAAGGATAGTCCTCTATATGAAAATGTCCTCTATTTGAAAGACCGTCTAGTAGAAATTTGGCTTGTCCAGTCCAGATAAAGAACTGGGCCTTGACGTTATCCATCAATGGCTATCAGGGTCACAGTCTTCCCCACTCTGATGAAATGTGTTGTATTTTGGCTTAAATACTAGTAGCCATTCCAAAATGTTCATGTTTATGTATGCAAATTTTATTTAAATCCGGATCCCCTTTTGAGCAATGTGCTTCCTCTCCTTCGGCAATGGGTAAGTAATTGTCCACATGTCCAGCTCCCATTTCAGTTTTCAGGGAGGAATCCGATTTCACATTCTGGCTGAAGAACGCTTTGCGATGTCTTTTCTTCTCTTAATGTTGTCATCACTCATCTGTTCTCCTCTTCATCTTCTTGCTGATTAGCTTGTTTCTCTGTTGCAGCTTCCAGAGCCAAACTCAGCATGCTAAACACCATGTCCAAAATCAGAGGCCAGGAGAAAGGACCAGGGTACCCTCAAGCTGAGGCACTGCTTGCAGATGCAATGCTAAAGTTTGGAAGAGAACTTGGAGAAGAATGCAACTTTGGTAATTAGTTCTTTTATTTAATTGTGTAAAACACCTCCAACATTATTTACCTTGCAAGCGGATCTTGCTAGGATGCCAGAATGCGATTATTCCACTTCACAAGCAAAGACAGACTTTTCCTCCTATGCTGACACCCAGAGCAAGACAGAAGCCCCTCTTTGAGCACCTGCAGAGAATGTGGTACAAAATGAGTAATCAAAGCCCATTCCTCATTAGGACGTCTCAGCCAGAGTTGCGTTAGGGTGATCTTTAGGCCTGGTCCCTTCTTTAATGTGATGTCCACATGTGGAGAACAGTCTAGCAAATGCAGGCTCCCAAATAGTCACCCAGATTCTTTCTTGCGGCTTCATTCAGGCTTTATCAGGTATAGAAGGCCTTGAAAATGTTGGTTCATCTCACACACGGCTTCACTGAGCAGATGCACACGCAGCAGCGCACACGGGCGTCAGGTGCCAGCGCACGTAGAACCTTCTGCCGGGACCTGGGTGTGCTGCGCATGGAGGCCGCGTGTGCGTGAGGCAGTCAGTGTGAAAGGACGTGGATCCTGTGCGTGGCGTCTCCCTCCCCTGTCTGTCTCAATTCGCCTAAAAGCTTTACCCTGCCACATTTAAACTCATTGGCTGCTCTAGCCACCCAATTGCAGGTGGGGCAGTAAGAGAAATCTTTTCGTAGATGAATGTGGCATTCCTGGGCCAACTGACAGCCCAGTTAGAATTTGAATTTAGAATGTGTCCCTGATGGCCAGTTTCTATGGCTTCCAAGGTATGGATGTCCGGCTTCCCAAAATGCCTTGTGGTTTTGTCTCCTGAGAAACTAATAAGACCAGGTGTAACGTTTTATTTATATGATCACTTGTCTAAGACTTGATCACTCCATGTTAATGCTGAAGCACATCCTTTTTGCGTTCACAACAAGAGCAAGACCAAGAGAATCCTGTTATTCTTTTTCAGGCCCTGCTCTAGGGGACGTTGGAGAAGCCATGAAGGAGCTTTCTGAAGTGAAAGATTCTTTGGACATAGAAGTGAAACAGAATTTTATTGACCCCCTTCAAAATCTCCATGACAAAGACCTGAGGGAAATACAGGTATTGTCATAAATGGGATTTCTGTAAAGATTAAGTGGCTATTACAAGAGCCACAGAGCTATTGTCTACAGCTTTTTGTCTGTTGTTCTTCACAAAGGCAAATTAAATGCAAACTAAATGGCAAACTGAATGCAGCACAGGGCAACATTGCCCCAATTCACAGCCCTTGACAGACATTAGGACCAGAGAAATACACAATTCAGTAATGTCACGCTTTCCAGGATGTTACAAGGAAATAAAACAGTTGCAAGCCATATCTCTTACAACATTTAGTTAAGGCCTGAAAACCCAGCCTGCTGCTACTTCTTTCAAACTATCAAAGCACAGGATTGTTCTGACTGAAATAGGAAAATTCAAATTACTCCGTTTCTCCCATCATATAAAAGCAGAGAAGTTACTATGGTGAAAGAAAAGAATACAATAAACATTCAGAAGCAAATATATAGTATTTGCGTGGGAATGTCACCTAAAGCAAAATTTGAAGCAAATTTGGGGTGGTGGAGTCTTTCCCAAGTAAAACATCTGAGAAGCTCTTGGAGGAAGTGCAAAGGATTCTGGTAAGGCTAGAGCAATAGCATGGAGGTTGCGGCTTCCAAAGATGTCCAGGATCTCTTTGGATTTGAGCAATCTTGAGGAGCCTCAATAAGACATGTGAAATTTCTTGAGCAGAGAAGGGCTCTTTGGACATTCCTATCAATTATTAAGTAATTGCTCAAATATTGATGCATTCAATGTAAATTGTTTACCAAAAATATCTATACGTCACTGTTTGCTTTTGTTTGCAAGCAACAGCCAAGCTCATTTTGGCAGTGATCTCCTGGCAGCCTCCAGAATGCCCAGATGTTGTATGACTGCAGGACATCTGGAGAAACAATGGCAACCGGCAAAATGAATGATGGCGGCTCCATCTGGTGCCTGCCATTTTGAACAACAGAATGAATGTTCAGGGCATTCTGTGCAAAGAAAAGTAGGTCCTGGAGACCCTGGAGAAAAGTAGGTCCATGCGTTTGTTTTGTGGTTATAGCAAGAGCCCATCAGGTCAGGGTGCTGGACTAGGACTCAGGAAGCCCAGGTTTGTATCTTCCTTGGCCGTGAAGCTCACTGGATGAAATTGGATTGGGCACTGACTCTCACAATGACCTACTTTGCAGGGTTGTTTTGGGGTTACAGTGGAGGGGACATGCAGATTCTTGGGCTTCAGGGAGGAAGGCAGGATCTAAATGAAACTCATAAATTGCAAACGAATAAGCCCCCATCTCTGAACGAGTGATAAAAACTTAGCAATAGGATCAAAGAGCCACTCATTCAAGACTAGTGGCACTTGTTTCCTAACAAATTAAATTTGAACCATATGGGCCTCTTCACGTCATTATTTAATCTGTTGAAAAACTATTCTACAGTGGCTACATGTCCTTTTTGCAAGGTGGACATCTTTCCTCCCAGATTCTGGTCACTGAATCCACAGAGACATTTGTGGTTATAACAAGTATTATAGAAATAAATTCATTGCATTTTAAACAAAATGTTCATGTGCTTTATACCTTTTTTTGGTCAAAAATACCCTAAGGGGACATGTAAAGACAAAGACTCAGGCTTGTGATATCATCTCAGATTTCATGCCCAAATAAAAATAGCTAACCAGCTTTCTAAAAGAGGGGCTGGCATCTTGGGATAGGAGGCCACCACAGGGAAGGCCCTTTCATGCATTCTTTGAGATTATGAGAATTAGGACCAAAACAGACATTGCATTACATCAGTATCTAGCAGCTGCATCTTTGTTAAACTCCCACTCTAGTGCGAGTGCAGGGAGCCCAATCTGGATCTTTAAAGTCCCCCCATGGTCTCATGTGAGGGTTTCCATGACGCTTGTTTCCTGGGTGATTCTGGGCCTGTCACTAACCTTCCTTGTAGTGTTTTTTGTGAGAATACAATGGAGAGGAGAAGGACCATATATAAGCTGCCCTGAGTTCTTTGCAAGAGGAAAAAAGGCAGGATAATAAATAATAATAGTAATAGTAGTAGTAGTAGTAATAATAATACTAATGCGCTTCAAGCGAATCATACAGCAAGAATTGTTTTAGGTGGATTCAGTGATGACTTTTTACCCCAACTAGAATTACTAAGAGGCAAAAACTAAGGGTCTGCTTTTCATTCTTATTTTAGAATCACGCACTCCTTCCAATAACAACAAGCATAAACATTGCAGTATTGCAGGTGTTAGCAACTTACGGCATTCCAGATGTTCTGACTGCAAGTCCCTTCAGCCCCAGCCCCCATAGACTTTGCAAATATTTCTTGCTGCTAATGAGGACCAGATCTTAATAATTCAAGAGCAGAAGTCCAAGGAAGTCTGCCCTGTACTTTGGCTATGTTAACCAGCTTGCAGGCATGAACTTTGTGTGAAGAAGCCCACGGCCTCAAATGTTGCAGTTCAGTTGCACTTTCTTGTTCAAAGGATGACATCAATATCTTCTCCAACATAAGCTATTTCTCCAAATTAGGCATGACTGGCTGGAGAATGCTGGGAGTTGTGGGGTATTTTTCTGTCCAAACATGCATAGGATGTCTAAAAATACAGTGTTGTAGATCTGTGTTTAGAACAGATAGTAGACACACAGAAACACACAAATATCCAAACGACTGTCATAAAATTCCTAAGAAATTAGTCATAAGATTCATAATGTATTTGTTATAAATTCAGAATTAATCATCTTCTGTTTAAATTTTAGCATTTTCATAGTCTCAATTCAACTTGACCCTTTATATCACATACACCCGTGCACATACAAACACACCCAGTTTACGTACTCTCATTCCTTACACATTAATAATTGATCATTAAGCATTGACCATTGATTGAGATGCAAAATTAAGTACACCTTGGACTTTGGATGAGAGATTGATAATCTAATACACTTCAGATAAATTTGTCACATGAACATTAAGGTCAGAAGTATAAAAATAGCATCATTTCTCAAAGAACCCTTGAGCCAGGGGTCTTCAAGCTTTTTCTAAAGGGGGCCAGTTGACAGGTGCCAGTGGTGGCCGCGAGCTGCCAAGGCAGTAATGGTGGAGGGTGCAGGCCGGTGAGGGGATGGGGGGGGGCACGTGCGCGTGAGTGGAGGCACTGGCTTGCTCATGAGATTGTTTTCTCCGAGCTAGTCCAAAACGACCTCCTCGTGAGCAAGCCACGCTCCTGCATGTACCCGGCAAGTGCAAAACTTGTGGGGTAGGCCAGTTAAATGGGCATGGCGGGCCAGATCTGGCCTGCAGGCCTTAGTTTGAGGATCCATGCTTTGAGCTCTTGGTGATAGGACATTAACGCAATGATTGCATTTATTTAAGATTATTCAGGCCATCTTGTAAATTAGATTTTGGATAAATTACCCAGAATTATTTGTGTCCCTCTTTGCGTCTTCCCCTAATGCAACCATTACTTTTTACTTTTGGGGTTCTCTTAACAATTCTTAATTATTAAGCATTATCGTTTTCCTGCAGCCTGTCATTTAAAAAATAAGGTCTATCATACTTGTTGGTTGTGGATAAATTAGTGCTTTTCTGAATAAGTATTTTTAGCAATGCCAGTTAAGTTCAAACCTGTGAAATCTGTGATACTCTCTCCACCAACGTTTTTTCAGCACCACCTTAAGAAATTAGAAGGCAGACGCTTGGACTTTGATTACAAGAAGAAAAGACAAGGCAAAATCCCCGATGAGGAACTCCGTCAAGCTCTGGAGAAGTTTGATGAGTCAAAGGAGATTGCTGAGTCAAGCATGTTTAATCTGCTAGAGATGGATGTGAGTAAATCCCTCTTACATCCTTTGAATGCATCGTGGTATTGACATTTTTGTTGGCACTTTAATGAATTTCTAAAATGACTAGCAAAAAGCAGAAGAACTGAGTTCTGTATTGATGTTTCCTAGACTCTCATCCATAAATAAGTAGAGCCCTAGCTTTTCAAGGTCAGGTCTTCTATATCAAATGAATTTTGAACATCCTCTTGTAAGAGTGAGTTTGTACTGGTAGAGTTCCAAGGACAAGACATTGGAAATGTTCTGCCTGACTGGTTTCCATCAGTAAAGTATTTCTGTGTGCTACCACTTTCTCTGCAACTGGAAGCATGGAAAAGCCCACTTTGGTAACATTTTGGTAGTTTTCCAGATTTTGTGTAGTTTTCCCCCATTTTAAAAGGTTGAAATGTCTCTTCTAAGATTGGATTACTGACAATATGAGCATAATGGTAAAGGATTTTGGCAAATGTTTATTTTGGGGACCCACCCCTTTCCTTAGGCCCTGCCCACCACTGGCATCCAACCCCCAAAAGTATCTCCAAAACTGATGGTGGCCTTGTATAGACAGAGGTTCCCTCCCGGTATTATATGCTGTAAAGCAATTTTTCCCAATCTGCTACTCTTCCAATGTTTTGGAGTACAATACTATGGATTCCTGACATTGGTGGTTAAAACTGATGAGGATGGAACATACAAGTGGGGGAAAGCTGTCTTAAAGCTTCAACTTAGGATGTGTAAAAAACTTAAATTAATTTCCATGTATTATAACTTTCTTCTCCACTGAAAGTAAAAGCATCCGGTATGATTCCAAATGGACAAATTATGTCCTTCTTGTGATAAAATAATCCTTTTTTCTTCACTCATGGAATAAAGTGTCTCAGCTTGAGGAACCTCTGCAAGTGAATTAGGACCCCAGAGGCTGGAGGATCCCTGTCCCTGCTTTAAGAGGTCCATCAACATGCCAATTGTACACAAGCAGAACGCATCAGAGTACAGTTGGCAAGGTCTGTAGTGTAAGCTATCACTTAAGGGACTCTTCTTCAATTAGGCGGGTGACACCTGTTAGATAAATGGAAGAATTATTTTCATTCATATAAAAACAGGGCCAGATGGACTTCAGTCTTGCATGGTCTGATCTTTTCTTTTTAACAAAAATCTCTGCAGGCTGTTAATTGAATATTAAATTTAGAAAGCAAGTATGTACACCCACTCTCCCTTAATTATTTAGGCATATTGTGTGCTAAGTGTATGCATCCTTGCTTAGGAGCAAAAAAAGTGTCTCGCTCTATCAGACCATATTGTCCTGTTCAGGTTAGTTGCTTGATACCCACCAGATATTTTTATTACAACTCCCATCAGCTCTAGCATAGCCAATGGTAAGGGATCATGGGAACTGTTATCCAAAGAATCTGTAGGGCAGCCTGTTGCCCCATTCCTGCCTTAGTTTTATTCTGGAAATCACCTGGCATTAGGTTATCCTTCAGAAAAACACCAACAGTGGACAGGTAGCCCACAAGTCTAAACCTTCATCTGTTTATTCATTTCTATACCTCCCAGTACTTGGATAGTTCACAAGAACCCTGGTGAAGAAAGCTTGTCACACGAGGCCTTATCCATTTATATTCACTTGTGATATCCAGGTCAACATGGCTTGCTCCTTATTCACTGCCTATTGAGTGACAGAGGGCTGGCGCTTCACCTCAAGGCTTTCTCTTTTCAGATTGAACAAGTGAGCCAGCTGAGTGCCCTTGTACAAGCCCAGCTGGAATACCACAAACAAGCCAACCAGATCCTCCAACGAGTTAGTTCCAGGCTGGAAGAAAGGTAACACACCCTCGGTTCTTTGCTGCACATTATTTGCATTTAGTGTTGAGCCAGAAAAACTGACATGAAATTGCATGGTGCTTTGGATTGTGTTGTCTTTTTAAGACAGGAGAAAATTCCAGTTGCTTCCAGGAGCCATTAAGCAAAACACATGGGAACATGAAGGGCTGGAGCATGTTACATTTGTACCAAAGCAATTCTCCATCAACCCCATTGCCAGCACTTAGATCTCGCCTCCGACATCCACTGCCAAGCATAGTTGTTGTCACAGTGGCTCTCATGCCAGTAAGAGAACATGTCAAGCATTCTGTTCACATGGATTATTGCTATCTATAGTTCAAAATCACATTCAGGGATGCCCTTTCCAATGCAGTTTCTAATCTGGTTAAACATGTGAGTGGGAAACTTTCTATAGCCTTTGAACAATGCAAAAGAAAGCAAGTAAATGTGCATGTAAAAGGCACATTCTTACGCTGAACATGCCATTGCATTTTTGATCTTCATGTACGGGCGCCATGTCCTATGGCCACATCTTGGGGCATGGGGGTTTACAGTGTGACTGCAAAGTCCAACATTAGGATACGTACTTCTAAACATAAAAGAGTGTGAATGGGTGAGAACTCACCATTGTGGCATCTTGGTTTTGGTGTCAAATAGAATATATTGTCCAGATCCATCATGCACAAAGGTGAGCCATTTCTGTGTTTCAGAAGTGCAGTGTTTTTGATGTCTTGCAATGAAACTTGCTGGCGGGGGGCAGGCCCTGGGGTCTGCCTCTGAGAACCAGGGTTGCTGGAATTCAGGGACATGCTACATCCATCCCAGCTGCAGTGGTTGAGCTTGGTGGGACCACCGGGCTACTTTTGGATCCCTGGACTAGAGAAACACAACAATGAAATGTCCTTCTAGGAGGAGAGTGCTCTATGGGCTTGTTCTTTACATTTCTTGTCTGAAAGTGAACATGAGGCTATAAGGTCCCTCAATTTGCTGTTTTGTTTTAACAGCAGGTATTACCTCAGGCCCCTCCAAGTTTTTCCCTGGAATCAGTGCTGGGCGTAATAAAAACTCCTTTCCAATTTTGTATACTGTCTTGGTTAGGTGCTGTAACCAGTCAAGATGAAGAGAATGTCTCCCCATTATCTGTGCTAATAATTTGCTTCAAAGGGCCAATGGGCACTTCTCTCTCTCTCTTTTATTTCCACATTCTGCAATATGAGTCTTGGAGACTGTAATACTTCATTTAAATAATAATAATGTTCAGTCTAAAACACAAGCAAAACACTACATTTCAAAACAAAAACATATAAAATTAAACATACAATTAAAATTATTCTTAGAATAGGCTGCCTGCCACTTATGACTCATACATGTTACAATTTAAAAAAAAAAAGTATTCAAAGATTTCAGGACATTCCCCACTTTCAAAACTGTAATGATTATTTGATGGTTCAAATCCTTTCCCTGTTTTTCAGACATACTCAAGAAATATGCCCCAAATATCATTAAACTTGTTTTTCTTTATATGCTCTTTCTCACTTTAATTTCATATGTTAATTTGTCATTAGTAGCTATATTCCAAAATTCTCTATACCAATCAGCCAATTGGTAATCATATTTTACTTTCCAGTTCTTAGTGTTAATTAATCTCACTACAGTTCCTGAATTTGTTATTAATTCTTTATTATTCCAGCTCCATTATTTTTCTTGTATACTGAAAGTAATGCAATTCCAGGGCACATGTCTATATTTAGACTTAGCATTTACTAGACTCTTTCCATAATTTCATTATATATTCACATTCCCACCACATATGCAAATATGTACCCACGATCACATCTCCAACATAAATTGGAGTATTTGTTATTTATACAACACAAATTCATTGGAGTTAGGTACCACTTCCGCACACTTTTGTAGAAATTTCCCTTTATTCATACTGACATATAATACTCATTTCAAAAATGAGGCAAGCAGGAGGTCCCCAACATTTTTGGCCCTTTCCTCCTCCCCAATTTGCCATGCTGTTGCTTTGGTAGCAGCAGCAAAAGGGAGGAAGGCATCCCTGTCACTCTTTGCTGCCTGACCTCAAAGGCTGCAATGTTCGTAGGTCTTTAAAAACTGCATTTTCCCAGGCCAGACTGGACAGAAAAGGAGAAGGAAAGGAGGAAGAGACCCCATCCAGTATGAGTTGGGGCGAGGAAGGCGGAGGGGCTGCTTATGTGTGTTTTCCAGTTGCTTCTCCATTTGTGGATCCTAAAACATGCTGTGAACCCACACTATCCTGCTCCCTTCTTTATCTTTTGCTCACTAACAGGAATGACCGGTAATAAGACCTGTTTGGATTATTTTATGTTTAAATGATGATGAAATCTTTGCTTCTCTTACTAGAGTTGCTTGAGCTTCTTTGAACTCAATTTAAAAAGTCATGATCTTGGGATGTTAGAATCTGAATATATTTCAAATTGCACATGGGGCAATATTTGATGGCAACATGATAATGGAATAATTACAAAGAGAAATAGTTGTGCAATTTTCATTTATCACCAGGACATATGTGTAGGTACCAGATATCATGATGGATTATTCACCTCAAAGATGTGTGTGCCTCTTCTGGGCTTGCACTTAGTTCAGTTCAGTGTCCATAATTTGCAAATCTCGTGGTTCACTGGTTTGCTTGGCTTTTTTAATGATCTACCAGCAGTGCAACTCTAGCTCTATGTGTGTGCGCCTTTGTCCTTCTCATCCACTGTAAGCTCCTCTGTGTTGGAGCAGGCTGCTTTCAACATTAAGCACCTTGGACAAGTCCTCGCTGTTTCATTTTACCAACATACAGTTAATTTAGCAAGCCTGAGAATCTTCACATTTCAGATGTGAAAAATTCAGAACATGCTTACTTTGTAGGAACTCTGGTTTCTTTTTAAGGAAAGAGGTCTTTAACAAGCAAGTTTCCAGGGAAAATTGCAAAGAGTAAATGCCTGCAATTCTCAAAATCACAGGGAAAAATAGGAGTAAACAAAGAGCAGCTCATCAGATGTTTTGGGCTTTAGCTCCCAGCATCCCTTACCACTGGCCATGAGAGTCGGAAACATCTGGAGAGCTTCCTTCAGTCCAGCCCTGGTACGAGGCACTAGTCTCAGGCCCAGAGTAAGGCCAGGTCACCATATTCCTGGCAAGGAGGCTGGAGGGAAGGGTGGGCCTGCTCTCTGGTACATACTTTGGAATTCAGCTACTGTGGATGGCCAGAGGGGGACTGCAGCTTCCAAGCCCAGAAGCCTCCAGTGACCTGAGCAGCCAACGAGGTCTTATTTGGCCTTATCCAGCAAATGGTTGTGGTGTTGCCTGAGATGCCACAGTCTGCCTGAAAACCTCTTTTCCTCATGTTTGCTTCAATTTGTTTAGACCTGTTTCATGCATGCCAGGGCTGCAAACCAGGTTTTCCGATCACCTAAGACACCCTGACCATAGCTGAGCGATCCCCATGCTTCCTGTCCATACTCGGACAGGGATAAACTGGCTGGTTGTTTATGTTGTAGTTGTCTCTACATCAGATTTTGGCAGTGAACTCGACAAAGAGTTACCTTTGAACACTGTTTGTGCAAAATGCAGTGGCCAGATTGACAGCCAGGACCAGATGTTGTAAACTTACAGAATCATAGAAACTTACAGAATCATAGCAGAGTTGGAAGGGGCCAAGAAGGCCATCAGGTCCAACCCCCTGCTCAGTGCAGGATTCCAGGTTAAAGCATGTGGGGCAGAGGGCTATCCAACAGCCTCTTGAATGCCTCCAATGTGGGAAAGCCCAAAACCTCCCTGTTCGTTATGTTTCCAAACCAAATCCATGGTGCTAGTTTTGAGCTAGAAAGCCTCACATGGCTTGACACTCCAATACTTGATGAAACATCCATGCAGGTATGAATCTCCCCAGGTGCTGCAACCATCATCTGAGGCCCTCCTCCAAGAGCATCCTTTGTGGCATGGCAACAAGGAAGATGGGCTGCTTGGTGGTGGCCACCAGCTATGGAATGCTGGTCCTAGTGGAGGCCAACTGGCACAAACTTTTTGTGTCAGGGTAAGACTTTGCCCTGCCCTCATGGATTTGACAGCATGTGACACAATTTTAATGGTTCCTGAGACGTATTATATGGAATGGAACGGTATGGTGCAGTAGAGTATATCATAGTATTGTATTGTATATTTAGTGTTTAGAGTAAGTTGCATGTGAAATGGAGGCATCAGAAATGGTTCTTTGATTCAGTTATAAGGCCAAAACAACAAAGGTTTTTGCTTTCACTAGTCTGCATCAGCTCTCCCCACTCTGGTGGCTTCCCAGTGTGTCGACTACACTTCCTAGCATCCAGCAACCATCCATGTGTTGGGTAACAGCTGGGGGACATAAAGCAACACATCTGGGAAAAACCAGTTTGGGAGAGACATGCATAATTTTATATCCTCCATACCATGACTTGTTTGTTGGAGACCCTCTGGTTCCTTCAGAATGCAGAGGTATGTTTTTGCCGTAAGCAAGTCAGAATCAATAGCAGTTTGGTTCTGCTGGCCAATTTGGTTTGGTTTTGCTGGCTGGAATATAACAGGCTTTGCTCATTCCCTGGCAGGATAAAAGAAGCATCACTTCAGCCCAGGAGAGAATATCAGCCAAAGCCCCGCATGAGCTTGGAACTGAGTGAGAACACTCAACAGAATGGCGGGATCTCAAATGCCACCACTCCAAAGCCCTCAGGTAAGAGGAACTGGAAGAGGGGCTGAACACCACATGGCAGGACAGCTTCCCTAAGAATTTGTTGAGATACTGTATTGAAGGAGAACAAGCAGTCACGGGAGTGATTCATGCCCCAACATTTCACTTTTCTGCATAATACCCAAAGAATGAAATCATGGATATCTTCCTTGGTAAAATGCATGGGCATCAGATATTGGAATACCTCATGCAGTTCTCCTCAGGAGACAAGCACAAATTTCCCCTTTGGACATGGGACAAGCAACCGTGTAAAGTACTGGCAGTGGTCCTTTCTCTAGGTGCGTTTTCTTCAGTAGCCTACACCATTTGCTTAACCTTCGTATTTTTTTTCCCACCCATCCATTATCAAACCTGGGTTGATGGATTTATTTTCAGTCCCATTGACAACTAGATCAACCCACGTGAGAGCAAAGTCAAAAGAGGAAGAAAAAGACCGTAGCAGTGAAACAGGAGCTGAGTTCCCTCCATTAGAACCGGTATTGACTGACCACCTCTGGCCCCACCCCAACCTCTGTGACAAACCAGGACTGAGTTCTATATGAACATATATGAGTTCCATGCAACTGAGTTCCATATGAACTATATCCACATAACTCAGGGGTTGGAGCAGCCAGTCTTCCAGAGGTTTGACCTACAGCTCTTACAGCCCTTCAGCATTAGCTACGCTGACAAGGGTGGTTAGGAATTGTAGACCAAAATGTATGGAGGAGGAGGACTTCAAGACACCTGTCCCTGACATGGCTTTTCCCATGTGATTGGGATTCCCAGTCAGAGTTTGTGATGGTGCATGCAGAATGTAGAACCGTATTCGTGTCTTTTACTCAATGGGTTAGGTTCAGATTTAATCAGACTTAGAATTGTTGGACAACATTCCTCCAGGCCTTCCTGCCCTCCTCCATCCCCCGGTGTCCACTTAAGCTCACACCGACTGCTTCAGTGACTCCATCCAGCCACCTCATCCTCTGCCGTCCCCTTCTTCTTCTGCCATCTATTCTCATCTATTGTTCCCAGCATTAGAATAGTCCCACTGAAATCAATGGCACGGGTAAGACAGGTCCCATTCATTTCAGTGGTCTGACTAAATTTGGGTCCAAACCAAGAGGTGGAAATCAAGGATGGGACCAACAGGCACGATCTCACTCCCACCTCCGTGCATTCAGTCAGCATGGACTTTGAAAGTGAAAAGAGCCCCAGGATGGCCTCCTGGTCACTTGTCTGTTTGGATGGTCCACTGACCCTGCTCTCATCCTGGCAAGGCTGCTGGGCTGTGTTCAGCTTAGTGGGTCCAACACTGTGCAAAGCTGTCTTAGGGCCAAACGAGGCAATACCTTAAATGTGCCATCGCATGTGTGTATCTTTATTTTTAAAAACAGCAGCCATGTTGGGGCAGTGGCACAGGGAGAAAGGGGGTTCACTCTTCCCCTGCACCATTTTCCTGACAAAAATCCAGCAAGATTGCTGTCCATGATCATGGCAACGTCACTTCTGGGCACAGAAACAGAGGAAGCTGCGGGATATGGAATCAGGCAGTGTAGTCCACCCAGCCCCGTATTGCAGGTGGCCCTTCCAGGTATTTCCCAACCCTACCTGGAGTTGCCAGGGAGCACGCCTGCGACTGTCTGCATGCAACCATGTGCTGCACCAATAAGCTACTGCCGTTCCCTGTTCACTCCCATTTATTTGTTAGCAGCTAATAAACTAATATACTAATAAAATGCAATATTAAAATGCAATGCCATAAATCATCTTCCAGCAGAGAGAGTAATAAAACCAGTTTTACAGCGAAACTGAAACTACACGGCCCATAAACAGTCATTCAAAACTAGGATGATGGATTCCTAAAGGGCCTGGGAGAATAAGAAAGAGTTTGTCTCGTGTGAGAATGGTAAGAGGGGAGGCTCCTAACATTTAAGAACCAGAGATGCATCGGGGAGTCTCCAATGGTATCATTCCGCAAACTCAAATACCACCAGAGGAATGTGAGCAAAACTTTCCATTGTGCAAGCAGATTGTACACTTGCACAACCAGTTGCAGAGTGAATTGCACAAGAGTTATACACAGCCACTCGTGCAAATGTGGCTTTACTTGGGTTTTACTCATATGGCAAGTTTGGAATCTAGTTACTAGTTAGTGCAGTGTCATTTGCTTTAACAGCTGGTTACTGGGCATTGCCTCTGATCATAGAAGTTCCGCCTATGATCACAGAAGCCAGTCATGGTCAATACCCATGGATAGATTTATGACAATCGTGTGTTCCCCAAAACCTTTTATTTCTGCTTTTTCCCTTTCTGCATAGGTTTTCCTATGGACCAGCCCTGCTGTCGAGCTCTGTATGACTTTGATCCAGAAAACGAAGGGGAGCTAGGCTTTAAAGAGGGTGACATCATCACCCTCACAAACCAGATCGATGAAAACTGGTATGAAGGGATGCTGCATGGCCAGTCCGGCTTCTTCCCCATCAATTATGTGGAAATTCTTGTCCCTTTGCCTCATTAGGATGGCCAAGTCACCGTGGCTGAATCCCCCACTTCCCCCCCAAAAGTCATGTGTTGATACCACTGCTTTTAAATTAATAGGAAAATGGCTGCCTGCTCCACAACCCAAGTACATGCTGCAGTGGTTAAAGTAGTCATCAGGCCCCCACAGACAATCTTTGGTTTCCGTGTCGTCATGCTGCGTAGTGGTGATGCGTGGTATCTTCTCCGGACGCTGCAGCCAGGCACGTGGGATTTTCCTGTCGTTCCCATAGCTGCCTCAGAGATGTCTGCACAGTGATGGGGAGGGGAGGTGCGGGTGGATGTGGCTCAACAAGAGAGCTACGGACAGGGGAGCCCTTGGATTCTTCCGGAAGATAAGGCATATCACCACTCTTAGGCCAGGTCAGTTCTGTCTGGACAGAGCGGGGGGACGTGCCCTTGGGCATTGCATCGTTCCCTCCCTGCCAGAGGCAGCTTATGCAGGCCTAAATCCACTAACCAGCTTTTTGTGTCCTATCTCAAAAATGGCTGAGTCCTGTCCTTGGAGATATAGCAAAGCATCTATCTGGTTTTCTCCAGGAATGAGCCACCACTATTCTGTACATGCTGTTGGCATAGAACCAGCTTTGATATCCTAGGTCGGGGTGGGCAGGAGGTGGATCAGGATCTACTGGTGGATCCCTGAGTGAGTTGCGGTGGTTTGGAGATGGCTTTTGACCCCCGAAACATTTAACAATAGCAACAGCAAAATAGCTTTTTCTACTTACAGCATATTAGACTGCTGAAATGAAGAGAAGTGAGGCGAAGCAGGAGTGGACATTGGTAGGAAAAGACTGTGAATTTAGCTCACTACTGGCACTGACAATGAGGTGCACCGAGACACTGTTCTTTCATTCTCAGTATACGTCTCTTGCACCTGGCTTTGCTGGTGGATCTTGGGATTCTGGGAGACATAAACAACCAACAAAGTAGATTAGACAAACCTGACATCTGCTTACCCTTGTACAGCATTGTTAAATAAAGGCCCTGTTGGGTTTAAAATGGAAAAAGGTCCAATGGCCAAGCCAGGAAACGTGCAAGACCACAAGCCCAGTGTGGTTGCTCAGAAACTTTGAACCTAAACAACCCAGAATGCCAACAGCAGATAAACGAAGCTGGAAGAAAAGGAAGACCAAAAAAGTAACTATTTCACTTTGTAAAACAGCCTTCTCCAAGCTGGTGCCCTCCAGTTGCCGTGGATTGAAGCTCGCACTGTTTCCAACCACCATTGCCTTTGGCTGGGAACTACGGACGTGGCACTCCAGCAATCGGGAGGGCATCCAACTGGGGAAGGCTGCTGTGATGCCGAGGCACAAAGAAGAAGCTTACCACTTCACAACACCGAGAACCCTTATTCTACACATTCACTACAAAAGAAAAGAATGCAGAGCAACTCACACCACATATGTTTCTTTTCATCTACCTTGTGTTCTTTGAACATCATTTGTGTATATTCTGCCCTCAATGAGGACTAAATAAAAAGAATCTTTGTGCTGAGCAATTAAAGCAACATGTGGCTATATATGCAAAGACAGTTCAGTTTGTTTTCTCTCTGGCGTCTTCTGTATCTTTCTTTTTTTCCCATTCTACTCCCGGCATTTTGTGTGTATGGTGACGTGTCTAGCTGATTCACTGTTCTTTTTGGTAACTTCTGTATGAATTTGTTGAATCTGAGTTACGCAGAGTTTTATTTATCTCTCTATGTACCTGTACAGCCTCTTCCTGCGCTGCTTCAGATGTGCCACTTCAGTATTGGACTGTGTGAAATGAAGGCAATCCTTTTGCTTTTAACGTGTAAACTACATCGTGGAAAGCATTGATCTTTCAAATAAAAATGCTGGCTGACAAGCTGGAATGGGTGCGTGTGCCTTGTCTTTGCCGTCATTTGACTGCTGCCTGGGGCAGCTTTGGTAGGGCATCTGCTGAAGCCCACAGCTCATCAGGGGCCCCGCTGTCAGGAAGACCCCCAACCGGCTCCTCTTCAGCCGTGAAATTGCTTGCTTGGCCATCTCTCACTGGGGCCCAGGCAGAGCGAGCAAACAAGCGAGTGGATGGGAAGCAAGCAGCGCTTGTGAACTTCCAAGGCCTGTTTGCTCCTTGGGCTCTCTGCTTACCCTGCCAGCAGGAATGATGAGGGAGAGAAACAGCGGCAGATGGCGACAGTGGCTTCCAAGCAGCAGGCTGAGTGAGGAAGGGAAGCCCGTTCAGGGCCCTCGCCCAGGGGCTCCTAAAACCGGGAGCTGGCTGTGCCACCACACGTTGTGCAATCGCAGGTTGCGTGCACTCAGGTTGAGTTCCCAAAGTCACATGGGAAGTGGCCTTCTGCCCTATTGGGCTGTATAGTCCAGTATTGCCTCAACTCTGATGGGCAGGGGGTCTCCCAGGTCCCACACAGAGGCCTTCCCCATGATTAACATGCCCTCTCCCACTGCCTCCAGGGAAAGATGCTCTCTAATTCACATGTGGTGATCTTGCCTCATAGTAAAACTTTTCAGAAGGCAGGATTGACCCAAATATCAGAAATAACATATCAAATCATGCCATTTTTTTTAAAATTTCATTTGCCAATCTTGAAGGGCATAAATGTGCTCTAGAAATACCTGGTGACACTACTGGTAGCCATCACAAAGGTGGGGACAGGAAAAAAAATCCTAGGAAGTTTTTCCTGGGAAAATGGGAAATTTTTCCTCTCAGGAGATGCAGTGAGAAACTGGTTTGAAAGAATTTAGGGTGATTGCTCTTGTGGAAATGTTTCACCAATACCTCACATCCAAGCCCACCCCAACACTCCAGAAAGGCATGCTAATACAATTAAGGAATAATCTTATTCTGTGTGGCTCAAAATATGTCTATTTGGAGAAAGGAGACACAAAATGTATATATACATGAAGAAAGGGCACACACAATGTATTTATACAATGTTTTGAGTGTGGGGGATAAATATATTTAGGTGTGCAAAATGCATACATAAGGAAACACATGCAAAGCATGGATTTTGTTATGATTTTTTCAAAATTGCAAGCTTATGACCAAATGTGCCTGACATTAAAAAAAGACAATCCCAGCAAAACAGAGATCTGCAGATCTGTCCATAGTGTAAGATGGAGTTTTCTGCAACTTTGGTATAACAGGAACAAGAGAAGAGGCAGGAGAGCGGCCCTCCTCGTGCAGCCTGGAGAGCTTGCCGGGCAGTCAAAACAGCCTGAGATTTATCCTTGTATCTCTCAAGTTAGTGAATAGCTACAACTTGGAAGATCATTACTTTGCACAAAAGGCACCTCCAGCTGTTCCTTGTTTGCAGTGGGGGGCATGCCAGCTTCCCTTCAGTCTCACAGAGAGAGACCTGACTGACAGAAGCTTGGCGGCAGGATGTGCCTGTGCAAGGGAAAGTCCAGGAGATTATTTCAGTGTTATGGTCTGGCATTTGCGGAAACGTCTCAAAACTTCCACACGTCAACATAACGCAGTGTTTAAGTGGCAAGCTTGTCTGTTGGCTGGGTCCCCTTTGGCTTTGCCATGTGCTTTAAACATTTATGATTTGCTCAGTTTCATTTTTAACTTCCTGGGGTTTGTGTTGCTGTGGAAAGTGTGTTCATTCCATTGAGGAAATTAAAACAGGAGAGGAGAGGAGAGGAGAGGAGAGGAGAGGAGCAGCAGCAGCAGCTGCTGCTGCTAGAGGACAATTAAAAAAAATACAGTCTCAAGAGCAATTTTTCTTACAAGTCAGTGTGAGCAGAATATCAGCCATCTAAGTGAGGCTGATCCTTTTGTAGTCGTTAAAAGGCCTTCACCATCCCTTACCAGTAGGTCTGCTGGCTGGGGCTGATGGGAGCTGCAGTTCAACATCTGGAGGACCACATCTTCCCCATCTCTGCTATGAATAAGCATCAACAATGCGCTCCTCTTCCATTAAATGCAACTTCTCGTCCTCACAAATCATCTTTTCTCTCTTCACCATCACTTCTGAAGTTTTACTAGGCAAAAATTGGGGAACTGGCCTTTTCCATTTCTAGTCCCTCACTTCCACCATTTCAAACCATTTCCCCATCCTGCTGGCTTCGACAAGAAGGAAAATACTCAACCAGCTCCAGAGATGGGGCACCTTCTGGTATTTCTTAGGACAACCTGGTGGAATAAGCTGGCCTTGTTCTGAAGGCTCCAAGGCTTCTCAGAATCCAGGCCTGACTGGACCATCTCGCTACCACCACCCTAACAGGATAACAGAGCTCAGGGCTGGGTCCAGGCTGAGCATGCCCAGACACCCGTCCAAGAAGCCCATGCCCCGGCAGGGGGCACTAAGAGGCCTCCCTGGATGCGTTCCTCTCCAGCACCACAACCTGCTTGCCCTGCTGCCTCTCACTCCGGCCCATACAGCATTGGTGATGAGAAGGGGGAGCAGCAGACGCCACTGCCCTCTTGCTCACTGTCTCTCTGCCTCTGCAAGCCGGTGGTAGAAAGGATGAGAAGATGAGGAGCAGAGGCCAGTGGCAGCAAGAATGTGAAGCCACCTACTGGGGGGTGACTTGTCCAAGGTTCCTCCAAGCCCTGCCGCCAGCACTGGCAGAGCTTTCCACAGCTGCAACAAACGCTTCTGCCAGAACAGCCTCTCTGCTTGCAGCAAGCCAGGTCTGAGAGCCAATGGGGGCAAGCAACATTTCACGACCCGGTTAGCTGCCCTCCTTGGAAACTTAGGATTGCACCCGAGACATCCCTACCCATCTGGAACAAGCTTTCCTTGGGAATTTGTCAGGTCCCTTCTTTTCAGGTCTTCAGGAAGGCACTGGAGACTGACCTGTCTTTGCTGGCCTTGCTCCTCATCTATGGACAACAGGGAAGGGGGTGGAGCGGGCAGATCGGTTTCCATAGTGTTTTATAGTATTTTATTGTATACTAATTTATTGGGTGTTTGCATACATTTTTCTTTTTAAAAAGCTTGTATGCCATCTTGAGAGCGTGCTGTCGAAAAAGCTGAAAAAAGCATTAAAAAGACATTGATGAAATAACTACTTAATTAATAGTATACCACTTTGTGTGCCATCTTGACAGCACGCTGTCAAAAAAGTTGAAAAGGCATTTAATTGATTGATTGATTATTCAAAATGATTTCTTTAAGAAAAATGGGTATGTGGAAGGTGAACTAAGAAGTTTTAGGTATGTAGCTCTAGAGCTGAAACTAGAAACTAAATGTTTCCGGGCTGATTGACAGGCAAACATTCAGGAAAGGAAACTTTCCCTAGCATGAATACGGAGACAGAGAAATCTTCACCTGCTGAATTTCTGTCTGTTACATGAAAGCCCACTCTGGAAACTAAGATGGTAGCCATACTGCAGAGGGGAGATTTGCTTCTCTAGTATTCTTACGCTACGTTTTGAAAACTCGTTTTCACTTGGAATGGTCAGGAATGAAAGAGACCGTTGTTCTTGGTGCACTTCTCCAGGCCAGGGTGACACCAGCTCTTCGGATGAAGACGGTGAAGCCTGGGAAGAGAGGTCTTCAGGCATGGAGATGCCAGTGGATGGGCAGCTTCTCTCAAGGCCGCCGCTTCCAGCTGTTCAGGCAGACCCTGGGAACCAACAGGGTTGGGAAGTGTTGGGAGGAACCAGGGTCAATCTGTCCTTAACCCCAAGCATTGGGAAAGATGGGCTAGCCAACTAGAGGGCCCATGTACTGCAAGAGGCTTGCCTGTCTCCAGAGGGGCACTCCTGGAGGGATGGAATCCAGGGTTACTCATGAGATGAGTTCTTGGAAATAGTTGCTAGCTTGGGCTCAACAAACTCTGCGCATGCTCAGAGACTCTTTCTTTGCTGGCTATAGCTTGCTGGAAATGCAGTGGAAATGAAGAGCTTTTATCAAAGTACTGTCTCTTGTTTGAAAGAACCTAGCTCCTGACAGGTGCACATAGAGACAGAGAGAATTACAGGGACTGCCACTATGTTGGATGATTTTAAAGGGGGATTGGATAAATTCCTGGAGGAGAAGGTTACTCATGGCTACTAGACCTGATGGCTATTTGCTGCTTCCAGTATCAAAGACAGAATCTCTATGCACACCAGTTGCTGGGTGGCTTGGCTGTGTTTGTGCGTGCACATGTGTGAGTCCTGCCACACTCATATCCTGCTTGGTCTGATCAAGCAGGGCTCTTATGATAGTCTCAGGGAAGAATAATTCTAGGAGTCTGTCTCTTGCGAAGGCAATTTCTGATTGCAGATATTCACATCTTTATCTTAAATACTTCTAATGTTTATACCCCAATATGACTTGGGGAAATCCTGGCAATATGGCTGACGGAAGGAAACAGATGGCCCTCTAGTGGCTAAAGTAGTTTGGGAAAAGAAAAAGAAGCCTATACACCACAGAGATAAAGCATTGCTGAATCTATACTAGCCTTCCCAAATGTTGTGCCCACCAGAACTTTGGCAGCAATTACACCTAGATTTTGCTTCCATTTTTTCAAGTTGGCTATGGATGAGGGGAGTTGTAGTCCAAAATATCTGGAAGGAAGTACATTGGGGATGGTCCAGGTTATGGAGTTACAAGTGAGATCTGTTGTGATGTTGAGGATTTCAGCCATTCTATTCCCTCCCCAGCCCCGTTTTCACACCCCACCCCCAATACTCAGTCCACATTCTGTGGCCTCAGTCAGTTCAGTTTTTTTGGCCAATGAATCCCTACATTTGGGAATTATTTTTTCTAAATATTCATTTAAGATTTCAGCAAGCCTTAGTATTCCCCAGGACTGACTAATTCCTATTTCTCATGCACGTGTGTGGTGTTATTTTATCTACATAAGCATCGGCACGCAT